ATGCTCAACAAGCATTTTTAAGAACACCCAGCCCGACTCTTTGAGTACAGTTTGTCTTAATATTCACATTATAAAAATGCATACTTTTAAAAAACAGATGAACTGGCTGAGGAGCTAACTGACTTGCTACAATAGTACCAGCAATAGAAGCGAGACTGAAATCTGTATCTCCTTGTACTTGTGAAAAACAGAAAACAAAACAAAACAAAACAAAACCCAAAACCTTGTAATATTTACCACAGGCAAAAGGAGGGGTTATCTTTAGAAAAAAGCAGATACTTCTGAAAACTTAAAAATTAACTGATCATACATTAGATCCCTTTAAACATTCTTATGAATAAGAAGTGATTGGAATTACATTTTCAGGACAAACTAAAACTGAAAATGTCATATTTCGGTCATTTTTTTCTAGGGAGAGCATCCACATCTCCCGTCAGATTAAACATAAGATACACCAATATTCTGAACGTTAACTACAGAACCTTGTGGTCAGAGCTATTTCATAGTTTTGTCAACTGAATTAGATGAGAAAATACAGCAATTTTAGCAGAATAAGCAACTAAGCCAGGTTAAAAAAAACTGAACAGAATCACGTAGCTTACCGATTAACAGACACTAAAACATGGTTATAAATCTGACCAATAAAAGGAGAGTGGGGTTAGTTAAGGCAGAAAACATTCAAGGGTGATCAGGAGCTTCTTAAAAAATGTATGTTGGCAATGCTGAAAGTTTAAATTGTACCGAGATTAATAGGAATACTAATTAAAGAACAAACTTTTGGCAAAATGGCACAGTGAGTTGATGTTAAGTGAACCTTTTCTCCCACAGAGATGGTGGATAAAATAAAACAAAAAAATGCTTTAAAAATACATAGTCAAGCTAAGAAAGAAGAAAGAAAGAAAGAACGAAAGAAAGAAAGGAAGGAAGGAAGGAAGGAAGAAAGAAAGGAGCTCCTGAGGCACCTGAAATAAAAGAGATATCAAAATCAAAGCCAAAACAGTAAATGGAAGCTGAGACCACGCTGGTCCCCGGGGGTTTCCAACCCCAATACAGGCCCTGGGCTTGGAGGAGAAAGCACTAATGCTCACGTGGAGACTGGAAACATAGCTTTAGGCAGACGGAGGCGGGGGAGTTGGAACTGCGATGCTTGCACAAAGAGCCTCAATCACCTACCCCGCCTTGAAATGCGGTCTGGAAAATCCCCGCTCACTGAAGTCACTAACTATCTAGGCCCGGAGTAGGGAAAAAGGTACCTGCAAGAAGTCTACAGTGAAGGCCTATGCCATAGAGGCGTGAAATCCAAATTTACTCCCTCTATCACCCAGGAATCTTATGCTGAAAAATTAATATAAAAACTGGTCTTTGACATGCCACAGACAAAAACGAGGATTACTTTCCTAACCCTGGGCACAGACTCATACTAGGAACATAGAGCAGAGTTCAGTATTACAAACCATACGAGGAAACATGAATGTGAAACATAAATCTGTAAAAGCTAACAGTAGGAAATGTCGGGGGAATCTTCGAAACGGGGGTAGGGGAACTTCTTAAACCAAAAGCTGTGAGAGAAAGAGAGAGAAGGGAAAGGGCTAAATTTGACTATATTGATTACTAAAGATTTCTGTCAAAAGAACTCTACAGACACAATTAACAGACAAATGGACAAATGGTACAACTAGCAGAAAATAAAGTTTAAAGGCAACAAGGAATCAATATCTAGAACATTTAAGGAGTTCCTGCAAATGTTAGGAACAAAACTAAAATCCAAGGTGGAGGGTAGGAATCGGGCAATGGCATAACTGGGCAATTCAGAAGAGGAGCTCACCTCACTGACAACAACGATGGCAGCAGTAGTTGTTGTAATGGCATCTAACATGGATTGTGATGTTTATCCCATTCAGGAAGTGCACTACACACTTTATACACAGGAGCTCATTTTATCTTCTTAAGAACCTGATAGGCGAATGCTGTCACTATCCCCGTTTACTGATGGGAAGACGAAAGCCTAGAGAGGTTGAGCAGTTTCTCTGAGGTCTCACAGTAACAGTGGTGGACATGGACTTGCATTGAGGGCACCACTGGTAGGTGCACGACTTGATAGAGCCCTTCTGAAAAAACATTCTGGCAATATTTGGTTATGTTTTCTGTGCATACATATATGTGCCTTAAGACCCAGGACTCACACTCCTAGATATATAGCCTAGAAAAATTCTCACATAAGGAAATATGGCCAGAAGTATCACTGGAGCATTATCTGGGGTAGCAGGGCAAGGAGAGGCAACTGAGATGTCCACCACTAACAGAATGTGAGCGGGTGTGCAGGATGCGCATTATGGCATATAGTGCATTGCAAAGGAGCAACAAGTAGCTATTTAGACCAAAGCATGGACAGATCTCAAATACCCAGTGCTGAGTGAAGACATAAGAATGAGAAGGAGATCTAGAGCATAACATCATTTATATACGTAAGTCAAAAATATACATTCGAGCCCTGGCTGGTGTAGTTCAGTGGATTGAGCCCAGGCCTGTGAAGCAAAGGGTTGCTGATTTGATTCCCAATCAGGGCCTGGGTTGCAGGCCAGGTTCCCAGTAGAGGACACAGGAGAGGCAACCACACATTAATGTTTCTCTCCCACTCTTTTCTCTTCCCTTCCCCTCTCTCTAAAAATAAATCCAAACTTCCGACCAAGATGGCGGTGTAGGTGGAAATACTATGCCTCCTCGCACAACCAAGTTTAAAGACAACAAAGTTTTGTGACAAAAACACAACCAAAACACAGAAAATTGAACAATATGGAAGTCCAACAACAACGAACCTTGCAGCCACACCGGTAAGAGGGGTGGAGCCAGCAACTGGCGGAATACGGTCGGGCAGGAAAGATTGGTCAGACTGACCCAGGAGGCAGCCGTTGGCAGATCCCAGGTGTGGGGTAGCAACAGGCGGACCAGTGAAGGTGCAAGGTGGTAGGCTGACCACAGTCACACATTCACACGCAGATAAACCAGGTGAAGGAGTGAGCAATGAGACAAACTGCGCAGGCCCCAGCGGCGAAAAGCAGCAGAGGGGACCACTATTGCTCCCTCTCTGGCCCTGCCCCCACATACAGCGTCACAAACCAGCGACCTGGGTAGCCCTACCCTGGTGAACATCTAAGGCTCCACTCCTCATACATAACAGGCATGAACAGACCAAAACATTATGACTCAAGAAGAACTCAAAGCCCCAGAGTCAATAACTCTAAGCGACCAAGAAATAGCCAACCTATCAGATGCACAGTTCAAAACACTGGTGATCAGTCTGCTCACAGAACTAGTTGATTTTAGTCACAAATTAGAGGAACAAATAAAGGCTAAACTAACTGAAATGAAGGGAAATGCACAGGAAACCAATAGTGATGGAAAGAAAAATGGGACTCAAATCAAGGGAGTGGACCAGAAGGAAGAAAAAAATGACCAAACTAAAAAGAATGAAGAAACAAGAATTCAAAAAAATGAGGAGAAGCTTAGGAACCTCTAGAACATCTTTAAACATTCCAGCATCTGAATTACAGGGGTGCCAGAAGGGGAAGAGGAACAGTCACAAGTGGAAACCTTATTTGAACAAATAATAAAGGAGAACTTCCCCAGTCTGGCAAAGGAAATAGTCTTCCAGGAAATCTAGGAAGCTCAGAGAGTCCCAAAGAAGTTGGACCCAAGAAGGAACACACCAAGACACATCATCATTACATTAGCCACGATTAAAATGAAGGAGAGAATCCTAGAAGCAGCAAGAGAGAAGGGGACAGTCACCTACAAAGGAGTTCCCATCAGACTGTCAGCTGACTTCTCAAAAGAGACCTTACAGGCAAGAAGGGGCTGGAAAGAAGGATTCCAAGTCATGAAATCCAAAGACCTACATCCAAGATTGCTCTATCCAGCAAAGCTTTCATTTAGAATGGAAGGACAGATAAAGTGCTTCTCAGATAAGATCAAGTTCAAGGAGTTCCTCATCACCAAGCCCTTATTATATGAAATATTAAAGGGACTTATCTAAGAAAAAGAAGATAAAAAAGATGAACAGTGAAAGGACAGCAAACTCACAGTTATTAACAACCACACCTAAAGCAAAAGCAAAGTAGGAGGACAGCTAAATCAGAAGTGAACCATAGAAATGAAGATCACATGGAGGATTAGCAACAGGGGAGTGGGAGGAGGAGAAGGGCGGTGAAGGTACAGAGAATAAATAGCAATAGATGGTAGGTAGAAAATAGACAGGTGGGAGGGCAAGAATAGTATGGGAAATACAGAATCTAAAGAACTTATGACACATGGATATAAATGAAAGGAGGGGAATGGTGGGGTAGGGGGTGTGCAGGGTGGAGGGGAATGAAGGGGGGAATAGGACAACTGTAATGTCATAATCAATAAAATATATTTTAAAAAAAGAATGAACTACTGATAGAGGCAACAACATAAATAAATCTTAAAAATATAATGTTAAAGCAACGCCAGGCACAAAAGAGCACATACTATGTGACAGTTTACAGGTGACAGAAACACAGGCAAAACTCATCTGTGGTGATACAAAGCAGACAGTAGTTGTGGAGGGTGCTGGGGTCGTGTGGGGAAGGGAAGTGAACAGAGACGAAAAGGACCTTCCTGGGGAAATGAAACTGTTCTACATCTTACTTTGGGTAGTCACAAAAACTTAAAACAGAAAACGTAAGCTCAACGTACGGCATGTTAAGTATATCTCAATAAAAAAGAAATGAAGAAATGTGTCAGCACACCTAAAACGCACCGTTTAAGAATGGGCAGGAGAAGCGGAGGTGAGAACCAGTGTAGAACGGTGACGACCCCAGCACCTGCCACTTACTGAATGCCCACCACATGCGGGCACCGCTCTAAATGCTTTACTTGTACTAACTCATTTAACCCTTCTGACATATCTATGAAGCAGGTGCTCTTAGTAGCCCCATATTACAGGTAAGAAAACCGGGGCCCGGAGAGGTTGCACTTACCCAGGGTCACACGCCTTGCGTGTGGCAGAGTCAGGGTCCAAGCTCAGGCAGTCTGGCTCCGAGGTGCTGAGAACTCCACTGCCTCCCTGAAATGAAAAATCAACAACATGGAAGGCGAAAGAAGGGAGACTAAACTTGGGGTGTTCCCCGGTCAAGGGGGTGACAAAAATAGCGATTAACTTTAACTTTTGTTAAGTGATGTATGTTAACAGGTAAGGATAAAAGGAAATAGGAGCTAAATAAATATTTGCAAATAAGAGATATAAAAGGGAATAAAGAAAATGTGATTGAGCAACAGCAATGGGAAAATGGAAAAGGGGAAAAGGCAAAAAAAGTATAGTAAATAGAAAACAACTTAAGATGGTAGAAGTAAGTCCGAATATATTAGTAATTGCAAATTTTTATAAAAGCAGATTCAACTTTCTTGTTAAAAGCAGATTCTCTGACTGGATTTCTTTAGAAAATGGGGGAAAAACCCAGCTTTATGTTGCTTGTAAGAGAATTAATGTGTGGGTGTGTTTACACTTAAAGCTGAACACGTCTTAAATGCTGTGTGTGTTAGCTGTTACTATTATTACCAAGCTGTGAATCATTCTCATTAAATAGTGTTGAAACTAGCCATCTGATATGACAGCTGAGTATCTATCTGTAAACAAACAATTAAACTATAAAATCATTGTAGACCACTTTCAGGGACAGACTACCATTAATAAGTAAATCTAATGTATAATCACGAGGGATACACTAATGATTTGTGGGTTGCTGAAATATACCATAGAGGCTCAACTATACTTTGCTGATCTCACAACTAAAATGTAAAAGCCCCTAACATGTATTTTATTGAGTTTACCCCTCACTTCCTCAGCAAGGAAGTTAAATGGAGGAGAAAATACGGCACTAGATATAATGTCACCAAAGGGTGCTTCTCAAAGTTAGGAAACAATAGTGTAAACACTGAGTGTTGGAAATCTCTAGGGGAATCCTGCAGACTCTCACACAGAGGCAACCTAAATCATGTTATTAAGCACTTACTGAAATTGCTAGGCTTGGGAGAACTGTCAAAGTTCCCAGGGGAAGAACATTTAAGCAACAAAAGAGCACTAGAATGATGAACGTTCCTCAAAGGAACAATATTAAAGCCTCAAGAAAAGACTAGACAGATGTAGAATCAAGATACTCACAAAGAAAAAACTTAATGGTTGAACCAAGTGCTGCAACAATGACCCGAAACACAAGTGGGGTGTCGATGCAAAGGAAAGCTAGGCCAGCGTTCTAAAAGGAGCTCGGAGAATGTATATTCTGTCTATCTACCTATAATCTTATTCTGTCTACTTCCAAAAAACCCCCCTCAAAGTCTGAAGATTCTATAAGTTATAAAGGAACAACAATCACATACAGAAGAAAACCCAGAAAATGCAAAAGAACTAAAGCCATAGCTGGTAGAAAATATGGAATCCCTTTAACAAACAAAAAGAAATACAAAAACTTGCAGTTTTGATATGTACTGCTTAATTTAATCAAATAGATGTTCTGAAATCCACCACTGCGGGCGATGCCCTGAGCGGAGCCCTCACACGAAGGCCTCCGCCTCCACTGCCGGACCCTGAGAGGCTCTTTCCTGTGCCTCGGGAACCGGATCTGTGATTCTCCATTCTTGGTACTTACTTTCCCGTAAATTAGCAATACACACGTCAACCAATAATTATTCATGGGTAGACTGCCTACTACTATTTACTCAGCATGTTGCTAGGTGCTGTGTGGGAGCCAAGTGAAATATAAAACAAGACCCTTGGTCCACAGAGAGTTCGTAGTAAAGTTCACCCTACGCTGGAATGATTGGAAAACAGAACTCTCAAAAGACTTGATCCACAAGAGACAAGAGGAGGAAAAGGGAGAGGGGAAAAACAGATCGACCCCAGGGAGTGGCAGGAAAAGGAAAGGCTGGAGCAGGTCAGTGGAAGTTGGGGAGAATTTCAACAGGCAAGGGTGGAAGGGTCAAGAACTACACGCAGAGGGGGAACAACGAACCCGGTTCCACAGGCAGACACTTGGCGAGCACCCTGAAAGCGGTGTAGTGCACAGAACCGGCACTGCACCTGGCGCTGGAAAGGTATCCAACAAGTACTTGCCGTTGTTATTATTACGGACACTGGGCTGGCTAGGGTGGGTCTCCAAAGACACTCGTGGTATGAGGAAGTGGGGGCACAGGGCTGCCTAGGTCAGGCAGGCCAGAAAGTGAGCAGAGGAGCTTCTATCTACTTCGAGGGAGGAGCTTCTGGAATTGAAATTGATAGCTATTTTAAAATACAGCACAGTGAGTAGGGAGTGACTCGCTATTTTAGAATACAGCACAACAATTAGGGAGTTGTTTTTACAGCCACTGACTCATTTTCTTTTAAGTTCTTCTAAATCTAGAGATAATGCTCCGTTTCTCCTGCTTTTGTAAGCTGACTCCTGCTTTCTCGCCAGAAGTAATGGTCCGAACGGGGGTGGGGGGGGGGGCTTGCCCTATAAAAATAACTGCTCCCCCCGCTGCCCAGCGCCCAGTTGGAGACTGACTCCTCTGAGTCCGCTCGCGTAAAATAAAGTTCCACTCAGCACACCCGAAAGCAGCTGAGTTATTTTCTGTAACAGAAACAGCACAATTAAAGCAGAGCTTTACCAGGGACAGGTGGGATGGACTAACGAGGAGAGGTGATTAGCAATGAGAAGGAAGGACAGGCACCTTATGTGTACTGTCTACCGCCAAACGACTGGAGTCCCATGGAGCAGAGGCTGGTCCCACCTCTGCCTGCATTTCTGTATGCCAATATTCAAGAGATAAATGCCATTCTAATACTTGGTCAGGGTCCTCTCTTCCAGTTCCCTTAACAATTCCCACCTCTCCCTGTGGAACATCTAAGATATCTCTTTTATGGTCTGGCTTGAGGCTGCCTTACCTGCTTAAAGGTTTTTTGTTTGTTTGTTTGTTTGTTTACTGTCCCTGTTAGCTGAATAATTTTCTCACTTCTGTCTTGATGCCTGGGCTCTGCTGGAACTGGAAAGCTGGGAGGGACCTTGCTGAGCCCTGTTCATTGCTTTCAGCAAACAGAAGCTCATCACTTTATCCCTGGCTCGTCTTATGACCGAGTGACCTTAGTCCAAGCCCTCCCTTTGCGAGGGAGGAAACTGAGGTCCTGAGAGGCGGCGAGTTCTTTGATCTGAGCCAGCTTTAACCCCGTGGCTGTTTAGTGTCTCACAAACAACCAGAATCAGGCAAAATAACAGGCACTCTCAACATAATTAGACCAAAGATCACACATTCAGAGACAAGAAATGAGGCATTTGCTACACACAAAAAGATGATTTAAAATGTAAGGTATGTAAGGAATCAGCTAAGTTAAAAGAGAACCAGTAGCAATTATTTCTGAGAACGCAAGGAAGATTGGCGAGGTTAGAAAAGGGTGACTGTAGCTTTTAGCAGGCCCAGATTTCTAAAGTTCAAAAGCAGCTGTCATCTGGTCTCTTCTCTTACACGAAGGGCATGAAAGGCAGCAATTTATAGTGCAAGGGATGAAGATTTTTGTATCAGATACTCTTGGGTTTACATATGTATAGTCATTGTTATTTCTAATGTTATCATCACTACCACCATCCTTCTATCCCAAATGCAGATCTGCTACTGTTCCAGCCCCTGGGAGCTGCAGCGACACCCAAATGACCTCTGTGCTTTCCCCTAAGGCACATCCTGGTCACTGGGACCTCCAGGGAGCCAGGATAGCTCTAGAGAACTCCATTACTGCAGAGTCTAAACTGGCTGAATCAGGTATAAAATTCACTTTTGGGGACTGTGGAGGGGGGTGGCTATCTACTGAGCTCTGTGGCAGAAGCCAAGGAGGGATATGATGCTACAATAATATGCCTCACTTACACACTGGGATTTGCACCTCATCATCCCTGTTACTCTCGCTTTACAGTTGAAGACTAAGGCTCAGAGGTGCCTGATGCCTTATGGGCCATGGAGTTAATAAGAGGCAGGAAAAAAAGCCCAGGTCTCGACCCTCAAGCCATGGTTCTTTCCTTTGTAACACAAGGCCTCAGTGGATGCCCAGACTTAGCTACCACTTCCACAGAGAATTCTCCCTTCCAAGAGCTCAGCAGCCATTAAGGAATAGAGCTGTCAACTCTTGGTCACTTAACAAGTGTGCTTCTGGTCTCACCCTGAGGGAACTGGTTAGTGAGCCAACCACATTCACTGCCCCACTGGCTCAGGAGACTGTAGTTTTCTCAATTACTAATTCATGTCTCACAACAGGGTGAGTCCTAATGACATTCTGCTCTCTCCTCATTTTCTACCAAATCATACTAGGGTACTAAGTAACCACTAATAAAAGCTACTAATAATTAAGTGCCCTGTTATAAACTTTTCACGTGTCACCTCCTTTAATACTAACAACCTGGCAAGACAGCCAAACTCAATTTCAACCAAGTCCTGACAGTGAAGAGGTCAAGGAACAGGCTCAAGGCCACACAGCGAACCGGCCCAGGGAGGAACTGAGATTCTGAGCAGCCAGCCAGTCCTTCCCAGAGTGCCCTCCATCTGCCAGAATGTTTTCTCGAACTTTGATGTGCACTCTAAGGATCACTTGGGCATCTTGCCAAAGAAAAAAAGATTCTGATCCAGGAGTTCTGGGATGGGGCTTGAATTCTGCATTTCTAATAAGCTCCAGGTGATATGAATGCTGTTGGTTAAAGGAACCCTCTCTGAGTCACAAAGGACTATGACATTATCTGTTCTCAAATCTCAGTTTTTCACATCTAGTTATTACATCACGTGTTAAGCAATTGTCCACCTCTGAAAAGGAATGAGTCATCCTCAAATCTTTCCTTTTCCACCTGCCCTTGGCTCCAGCCTGAAAAACAAACTCTGAAATAGCTTTGGGAATAAAACCTACAAAATATGGACGATTCCAACAACTAGGCTCCACGGCCTGGCACCAACCCAGACTCCTTTAAAATGCATTTCAGCAACCTAGTCTTCCAGGACTAGCCCCGCTTCCCTGGCTGCTGCCAAAGAAACTAGAGGTCGAAATGCCCCTGATTTAGG